CCCGAGATCTGTGACTGTGATCACGTCTCTGCCCGAGGCCGGGAGCACGAAGGAAACTCTCCTCCGTTAGTCCTGACCTCTGAGCCTCTTGGTGAAGGACCACTCTGCCTGCCGCCAGGTGGGGCAGCGCTCCGTTCCTCCCTCCCTCCCTCTGGCAGGTGCTGGGTGGTGGACCGGGTGGATGCCTGGGCTGTGGTCTTGTTCGTCGACTTTGGCCAGTCGGCCACCGTCCCGGTGCGGTGCCTGCGCAGCCTGGAGGGCGCTGACTTCTGGACCATCCCCCCGCTGACTCAGCCTTTCATGCTGGAGAACGGTAAGATGCCCTCCGACCTCCGACCTCCGGCCTCCTCTGGAGGCTCCGGGGTGGGAGATGCTGTGTCTGCCTCCAGGACCTCCGTGGGGGAGGGTGTGGGGGCAGCCGAGGCCCGCAGGGTACCCCTTCAGCCTGTGGTCATTTGATCTTTGCCCGGTTTTTGGCGTCTGCCTCTCGCAGAGCTGCCTCTTGGGTATTAGTTTTCACACCTGGCTCCGTGGCGGCCGCAGCAGGTGCTGTCCAAGGGCTGGGCTCTCTCTCCGGGCGCAGGGAGGAGGGAGGGCGGGCTCCTCGCCCCGGCGTCTGCCGGAGCCGCTCCGTGTCTGAAGGAACAGCGCGTCAGAAGCAGACCCAGCGGCCAGAGCTCTGGACCTAACCATTTCTTTCCAAACTTGAGTTTCCTTCTATCACGGAATGCTTTCCCAGTGACATCTTAAGCAAAACTCAAGGCACATGAAACAGATGAAAGCTGAGCTGCCCTGTGAAAGGATGAAAGGATGTTTTGGGGGGTCAGGAGGAGCAGAGGTGAAGAAAACACGGGCAGACACACTCACTCCCAAAGTGTAGGCCCCGGGAGGCCGAGGGGAATGGTGCCTTGTGGTCAGGACCACCCCTCGCAGGTCATTGTGGGTAATTGCACGAAGGGGCCCCTGCGTGTAACAGGGTCAGGGTCAGGGCCAGGGCCAGGGCCAGGGCCAGGGCCAGGGCTCTGGAGTTGGAGGCAGGCTGAAGCAGGCTGCGTGGGTGTTAGGGTTGGCCCCAAAAAGCAGCTCCCAATCTGTCAGAGGGGCCAGAGTGCCCTACCCGGCTATGGGCTGTGCTCAGCTCCCTCCTGGACTTAGAGATGGCCCGAGCCGTCAGGCAGGCGGAGTATAATCCTCCCTGTGTGAGGAAAACAAAGCTCAAAAAAGTGAAAGGAGCCCCCTCCCCTCTCACAGCCAGAAACGGCATACCTGGGGCTGGAAGCGAGGTCTGACTTTCATCTGGTCAGCTTCCTGCATAGCCAGCCCCAGAATTTGGAGGTTGGCAGGACAGCAGGCACTGACCTTTCGACCAGCGGCCTGCCCTGCCTCGTTCCAGCATGTAAACATGCGCATGTGAAAGCATCTGCTTCTAGCCTCTAGCCCAGATGCTCAGAGCAGAGTCCCCAGAATTTCCCATTCAAGAATGTGGAATCCGCCCAGCTGACATGGCTCAGCGGTTGAGCTTCGGCCTGTGAATTAGGAGCTCACAGTTTGATTTCCGGTTGGGGCATATGCCCAGGGTGCAGGCTTGATCCCCATTGTGGGGTGTGCAGGACAGCCTATCAATGATTCTCTCTCATCTGTATTTCTGTCTCCCTCCCTCCCTTCATCTCTGAAACACACACACACACACACACACACAAATACAGAGAGAGAGAGAGAGAGAGAGAGAGAGAGAGAGAGAGAGAGAGAGAGAGAGAATGTAGAATCCCAGATTCATGTAATTGTTCTAGTAACAATAATGTCTCCTCCTTTATATATTCTTCGTGCACCCTTCCCCTCCCCCTCCCCCCTCCCAGCTTTATCTCGTTTTATCCTGCAGCAGGGAGTTAGCCCTAACTAGCAGAGACTTGTAGGAGCCGCTCTGCATTTCCCGCTGCCCAGGCCTTCCTCTTCCCTCCCTTGCTCCTCCTGCCTGACACAGTGCCCCCAGGGTTTTGTTGTTGTGTTTTGCTCGCAGGCATTTTGAGTTCGCATCAGCTGACCCATCACATCCTCAAGGGGAAAATCACTGGGGCTTTGAACTTGGAGGTATCTGCCCCTGTGCCTAACTCAGCCCTTCTCCCTCCCCCCCACTCCCCCCCCCCCCCCAGGGTCTCAGCGGCAGGCCACTGCCAGGGCCTGGATTTCGGATTTATCTGGCCTTCCCTTAGACAAAATACCTGAAGTTTATCCAAGGGGTTGGGTAGACTGGCTTCGGCGGTCCTTCCTTCCCACTGAGACTTGCTCTTTCTCTTGCAGCCACACATCCTGAAGTTTGAGGAGTTAAGATAATGTGGCTAGCATCAGCACGCTCCTCCTTTGGTCTTCTGCATTCCCCCCCCCCCTCCCCTCCCCCTGCCTGCCCTGGCCTGTGTCCCCTTGCACTGGGAAGGCCACACTGGTGCCCAGGATTGATTTGATTTGCATTTGCTTTGCCCTCAGCTCCTCTCAGAAGAGTCTCCATTTGTCATGTGTTCAGGGCTCAGCATGAACATGTGACCAAACACAGAAGCTTCCATGGGAAGCTTCAGGTGGCCATGCAATTTTTTTTCTTTTTTTTTTTTTGCGCTCCCAGAGCATGATATAAATTGCTCTAACAGATTCAGAGATTTTGGAGAGTGGAAGGGCCCACTGCTTAATTTTCCTGGGATCCCATTGTAGAACCAGGTGGGGAACCTTTAACCAGTAAGCCATCACCATGGTGAATAAATGTTGGCAGGTTTCTCGAGTTTGGGTGACTGATTCCTGTCCGGCCACCCCTCCCCAGGCCTGCCCTCTCCTGCCCACCCTCCCCAGCCCTGCCCTCTCCTGCCACCCCTCCCCAGCCCTGCCCTCTCCTGCCCACCCTCCCCTCTCCTGCCCACCCTCCCCAGGCCTGCCCATCCTCCCCAGGCCTGCCCTCTCCTGCCCACGGCAGTGAGGTGGAGCGGCCTCAGGTGCTCCCTCAGCTCTGGCTGCAGGCTCTGGGCTGGGCAGACCCTGCTTGGGATGCAGAGTCATTCACCCTTGAGGTGTAGGATACTGACCTCAAAGAGGTTTTTCCTTGCCTTAGAGGAAAATTGATTCACAATGATCCGGCGTTGATTCTCCCATGGTTTGTAACGCCATGAGAACCCTAAACTTAAGGTCATAAAGGGAGTATTAGGATTGTTAAGAAAAGGGGAAGGTCCTCTGAGAGTTGGTGCTTCCCTTATGGCAGGGAAACAGGGACCCCATTATTTAAAAAAATTGATTAGAGCCAAACTATTTAAATAACTTTATTTGTTTCATCCTTTGGTAGATGAGAAAAATACATTACAAAATACATTATACAGAGGACAGCTCACAGTACACATTACTAAAAACACAATCTACATCTCAGCCAGGGCTGGTGATAAGGTCAGAAGATAGCCACAAAGGCCTTGAACACCGGTTTCCGCTCTATGGAATAAGGTTGTCCCTAGGGTCCCCACTTTACCTAAACTTTAGCACCCCATTATCAGGTGGGTGTGGGTAGAGTTAGAGCAGCATTGAGGGGGACTGTTGAACTCTCCATCCACCTGAAGCAGCAAGACATGAATCCCTTAAGAGAAAATGGGGGAATGACCAACGGTAAAGCATTACGGAACTGACATCCGTGGACGCCCAGGCGGCGGTCTCAGCGCTGGGCTTTCTGAGACGGAGCATTGTCACTGAGTCATCCCTGGCGTCTGTCATTGCGGTCATCATCTCGTCTGCAGGCATCGTCTGTCCCTAAGAGCCTGTCTCAGGCCCAACGCGAGCACTGATGGTTCTAGTCCAGCGACTTCCTACCTCCCTCTCCCCGCCCCAGCAGTTCCCGGAGCCTGGGGTGGGGACACAGGTGTCCACAACAGCTCCCTTAACGCTGACCTCCCCCGAGGACCCATCTGATGGAGGTGGCTCGAAAAGAATCCACCATTTTTCAAGCCAAACAATGTCAGAGCTATACCTGTTTCATGAGACCAAGTGAAGCGAGAGAGAGGAGGGTGAGCAAAGAAGCGACCAGTGAACACTTCAGTGCTAGCCAGAGCCGTTTCCGGGGAGGGAGGAGTCGGCGAACACCGGAGTTGTGGCTTACATAGCGTATTGCTGAGACCAGAGGCCGCGTACACACGAGATCGCCCCCATCCCCACTCAGTTCATTTAAAAGCAGTTCCATGAAACAGCAGCCTGGTGAGCCTCCTTTCCCATTTCCTCATTCTTAGAAATTTGGAAACATCTGCAAGTAGAAGAGAAAAGTAGTCCTAAGAATTAAGGTCATCATTTCAGCCTGCCGCACTGGCTCGGCAGGGCAGGCTCTGCAGGCCAGGGGAGCGAGCGCTGGTCGCTGCAGCGGCCTTCAGCAAGCTGAGGGCCGGGCTTGTGCTTCCGCTCCACGGTTCTCTGGCTTCAGCAGTGAAGTGCAGCCGCTCATCTCGACCCCTCCCCCACCACCCAAACAGTTTAGGGGATGGGGGTGGGGTGGATGTGGGACCAAAAATAAAGATGAGTCAAGACCAGCATCTTCAAATTAACAAACTGTAATTGTTTTCCCAAAGATACATTTTTTTTTCATACACATCCATCATACACTGTAACCAAAAAAAGCAGTGTACATGAAATAAGAGAAAATAAATTAAAAATCCATAGCATAGGTAAGGAGGCTCTAGTCTGGAGCACAGCTGAGTTTCCAGCAATATAAGGAGGCTCAAAAGTTTCTTTTATAAGAATGCCTGCTAGCAAGGGTTCCAGCCAGGTGGTTGGTTGGTCTGTAAGTCAGTCTTGAGTACTTGAGACGGTTTGGTGTTGGTTTTTTCCTTAGCGTTTAGAATAGCCATCATTGTCCTGCAATAGGCAGAGCTATCACGTCCAGGAAAAACAAGGGAGGGAACCACAGAGGCAGCGTAAGATCCAAATACAGCATTCAAAGGTAATTGGTCCAGTGGTGCCTGGGGAGGGAGGCGGGGGATGGCGCTCCGGGGTTAGCCATCTTCCTTTGGGGGTGTGTACCAGCCTGCAAAGGAACCCAACAAAACAGTGAGGGGGCGCTGATGTCCCTGTTCCCAGCCCCTCACTGAAGACTCCAGGATTCAGGTGAAATGACCCCAGGCAGGACTTCCGGTGCGGGGAGAGGAGCAGGGGAAGCGGAACTGCCCACCTGGTGGTCACAGGAAGGGGAGAGGATGTGCCCAGCCCGAGATGACAGTGAGGTGAGCTTCCTCACAGGTGGTGGGAGGGGAGCACCAATCCACATGGGGATGACCTGGTGCTTTTCTGGGGAAGAGGCGGTGGAGGGAGCCACCTCCAGCCTTCTCTGGGTAATGGGGGCAGGTGGCTGTGCTAACGGGTGAGAAAGGCTCAGAAACCAAAAGAAGGGGTTCTTGCGATTTGGCTGGAAGTGAAAACCTCGGGCCTTCCCAGTGTCCGAGTCTCGGGTCCTGGCTCCAGCCTCACCGTTTTTTTCGTGGATCTGCACCAAGGACTTGTAGGACTGCTGTGCTCTTGTCAGACTGTATTGAGACTGGGGAGAGGAAGCCGCCAAATCAGGCCGAGGCCAGCTGTGGCTCTCCCACCTTCCAGAGACCTCACCCAGAGACCCAGACTTGTGCTGTTAACATGTAAGTGCCCCCACCTGTGGGCCCCTCGGGGCTGCAACCCCACAGCCCTCCCTTTCCAGGCCCGGGTCCCCCCCTCAGGCCAAGGCCCTCTCCTGTCCCCACCGTGGGTGCCCAGGCCCACCCATCCGATGTTGTAGCCCAGAGGGCTTCATCCCCGAGGCCTCAGAGAAGGCAGCCGGGCCTGCTAGTGGCCCCAGCGGTCCCTGGCTCCAGGCCGTTGAGCAGGCCCAGGCCCAGCTCCTTACTTTGTTGGCTCCGAACTGCACTCGTGCTTTCCCCTTCACCAGTGTGGCACTGATCTGCATGATGACGGACTCTATCGAGTAGGCACTGCTCCAGCCCTGGGCATCGGGGAGAGAAAGCAGCACGTCAGGCGAGTTCCCAGAAACCTTACACTGGTCTTCCGCAAGGAGCTGCATCTGTGGAAGGGCCTGCCCTTCACCCCGGAACAGCCACCACCTGTTTGGGTCAGTGGGTGTCAGGCTCTGCCTGGCAAATGAAAGGGCCACCTTAAGCCCATCGCCCCAAACCCACAGAGCGTGCGGTAAAGCTCAGCTGAGCCCCACCCTGGCCAAGTGACCAAGAGCAAGAGACAGGCTCACCTGCTTGGTGAGAAGCTCCATGCAGATGGCGCCTCCACCCAGAACATACCTGCAGGGAAAGGTTAGTCAGTTGTGCCTGGTAAAGCTCACGCCCCTTTCTCACCTTCTGTAACAGGAGCTGCCCTCAGCCACTCACCCTCCGGAGAGGACTGGAGACACAACCCTGACAAACGGTGGGTCAAATGGAAAGTTATCCTGTGAGAGAGAGACAAAGGCAATGATTGGGGGAGGCCAGTGTTGGCCACAAGGTTGTACCAGTCAGGTGGAGGAGGAGGCCTGGGCCCAGGAGGGAGAGCTGGAGGGGAAGCAGACTTACTTTAAAGGAAAAGTTAAGTAGGATGAAGTCTGCACCTTCTTTCTCTTTGAGAATCTGGAGATCGTTGTGCAAAGCGCTGTCCTGGTCAACTCTATGAAGCAATGAGCCTGGGCTCAGACTCCTTGTCCTCGCTCAGGAGCCTCGTGTCCACCCCCACTTCCCCTGGCTAGCAGCAGAGGGACCCCCCTGCCCACGCCTGCTCCTGGGACTGCCCAAGACTGCCAGCAGGGGCTCCCCACGTACTAGGCCTCAACTTCCTTTCCAATCCCAGAGTCCCCACTCACTTGAGGAGTTTGACATTCCAATCATAAAGACTGTCATTCACGAGTTCGACTGCATAGTTTCCTGGAAGGCGGGAAGACGGGTGTTAATAGGATGCTCCAGTTGAAGAAAACTATCAAGGCTCCAGGTGCACCCCATGGACATGCAGCCGCTCTAAGCCACTGGCTTGCGGAGCTCCATTCTGGCCCATGTCCTTCTTTATGAGAAGCTCCGGTTCAGGCCCTCCCTGAGGCAAACTCACCGCCTTTGAAACTCTGTGATCGGTATATATCCCTGAGCTCCTTCATCAGCCGGTCAGTGGCCTGCACCGAGCCAGACACTGCCCCCTGCAAGGGAGGGAAGACAAACATCTGTGGGTCATGTGGTTTGAAAACACACATACTAGACCTTAACAGGACCTGAGCAAGGATTAGGCACACCCATAACTCATGCAGAAAACAATCTGCTCCCCACACCGATACGTGACGGCCTACCACCTTCTAGCCGGTACCCACCAAACCCTTGGCCCAGCCTCTCCCTAGAAGGTACGTACATTTAAGTAATCTTGCCTCTGGTTCTTTTTAATCTTCTCTAGTATGGCCAAGTTTTCTTTTCCGATGCCATCATCTTCAGATTTCTTGCCCTCAGCTGGCTCTTCCTCTTTCATTTCATAGTGATCCAGGTCTTCTGTGTCCTGGGGGTGGTAGGGGAGGGAGGAGAAAAGAAACCAATACGGGTTGTGGAGAGGGGCCATCGCCTTCCCAGTCCTATTTGGTCTAGAGCTGCACATTAAGGACCAATGGGCTCTCCAGCACCCTCTCCGTCTCGGCACCGGTTCCCAGCCTCATTCCCGCCACGATCTAAAAGACAAGGCCCATTCCCTTCCCAGGCAGTTCTTCAGCAGAACCACGTGTGGATCTAGGGGAAGCAAGCAGAGACTCAGTCCTCGTTTCCCAGCCTGACCCTGCTCCAACCGTTCCTAAAACTCTCCCTGGCAGCAGCTCTTAATTCCTAGAATGACTTTGGCCTGACACCGGGAAAGATCATGTTTCACCAGGTGACTATTGTGCCCAAGAGTTCTCAGGACTCCAGGTTAGAGGAGAAACCTGGATCAGAAATCTCATGCCCTCCCAGGTGGCGCTGACCTGATTCAAGCAAAGGCACCCACTGACAAGAGGGGGATGGGGAAAGAGTTCCAGCGAGGGAGCTTGGTAGAGGTCAAGAACAGAATTCACCCTGCTTTCCATCACACACAGAGTTCGCTGTGCATGATGGGAAAGCCCACATCCAGGATTTGAACCCTCTGTTAGATGCTGGGGGGATGGCGCAGAGGGCTCTCTACTGTCTGACGGGAGTAAGTTTCATGTGTCACGAGTCTTGTGTCTTAAGACCTTAACAGAGTTACAGAACCTGGACATTAAAGCAATGCTTGGAGACAGCAATCCAAATGATCTCCGGGCTCCAGCAGGACACAGCAATACTGACTTCCTAATTACTACCTTGATGCTGACATCTACGGAATGTTTATTATTATTATTTTTTAAAATACATTTTATTGATTTTTTTACAGAGAGGATGAGAGAGGGATAGAGAGCTAGAAACGTCGATGAGAGAGAAACATCGACCAGCTGCCTCTTGCACACCTCCCACCGGGAATGTGCCTGCAACCAAGGTACACGCCCTTGACCGGAATCGAACTCGGACCTTTCAGTCCGCAGACCGATGCTCTATCCACTGAGCCAAACCAGTTTCGGCTACAGAATGTTTATTATATGTCGGGCACGATACTGGATGCTACGCACACCAGCTCAGTTCATTAAAACCACCGTGCTTTTATGTGATCGCTACTCCCCTGTTTACAGGTAAGAAAGCTGAAGTTTAGTAATGTTAATTCTCATGTCCAAAGTCATACAACTCTTAGCAGAGCTAAAATGTGAATCAAATTTGCCTGGCTCTGAAGGTCAAGTTTTAATTTTAGTGCTATGTGTAAGTATCCATGTTTTTAAAATATATCACATAAATTGTTTAGCACTATGTACTGTATGAAGCCCTTTACATGCAATACCTCATTTAATCTTCAAGACAACCATATATCGTAGATATAATAATTCTGCTTTATAAATAAGGAAACTGCAGCTTAGTAAAATTAGATAAAATTCCCAAGTTAAGATTATCTTGGAGATACATGATGTAAACCAATGCCTGACTCCAAAGCCATCTGAAATTAACTTCTGCACCTGACCAGTTTGGCTTAGTGGATAGAGCAGTGGTCCATGGTCTGAAGGGTCTCGGGGTTAATTCCCGGTCAAGGGCACATACCTTGGTTGCAGGCAGGATCCCTGGCCCCAGTCGGGGCGGGAAGCAACCAGTCCAATGTTTCTCTTTCTGTCTCTCCCACTTCCTTCCACTCTCTCTAAAAATAATGGAAAAAAGTCCTCGGGTGAGGATTAAAAAAAAAAGAAATTAACTTGTTGCTCTGTGGTATAAACAGCTTTGCACTTAACTGTCTTCAGTGGTTGGATGTGAGTGCCTTGTCTCCTTATTACACTGGCCATTCCTCCAGGTCAGTAAATCTGTCTTTACTCGTTGGCATTTTTCCCTCCCCAGTTCTAGACTGGAGCTCTGTTAATCCTCACCTGAGGATATTTTTTCCCATTGATTTTTAGACAAGAGTAGAAGGAAGGGAGAGAGACAGAGAGAAACATTGATGAGACTGGTTGCCTTCCGAACATACCCCATCTGGAGCCAGGGATCAAGCCTGCAACCAAGGTACGTGCCCTTGACCAGAATCAAACCCAGGATCCTCCAGTCCTCGGGCTGGTGCTCTCACCACTGAGAAAAACAGGCTAGGGCTACACCGGAGCTCTGAACACTGTGGGTGCTCAAAGCTGCTGATTTGAGTTTCCTGTCAATGCTGCCTCAGGTGGCAAGCCTACCTCAGGCATCTCCTCATCTTCATCCTCCGAAGACACGTCTTCCTGTGTGCACTGCAGCGGGGAGAGGAAAGGTGGGAGATCAGAGCCCCGGGGGCTTCCTAGAACGCAACCTCTCACCTCCTCCCCCAAGCTTCCGGGTCTGGCAGCTGTGTGCCTGTCCCTGATGCTGCCAGCCTGTCCACCAGCCAGGTCTGAGTGGAAGCAACAGCTCAGGCAATGACTTCACTAGCAGCCCATTACTCTCCTCCTCCCACATGCCAAAGAATAAAAGAGAAGCTACATGGCTGTTTCTGTCGCCCACCTCACAAATCCCAGTTTATCTTCTCCAAAAATCCCTAGGCAGTTGAGGGATTCTTGCTTCTTAACAAGGGGCCTGAGACCCCAATGACCACCAACTTCTACTGTTTCCCTGAAAATAAGACAGTGTCTTATATGAATTTTTTTCTCCCAAAGTTGTGCTAGGTCTTATTTTCGGGGAAACACAGTAGTAAGCCCTCCTCCCCCTGCCTCCACTCTTCTCCAAATAAGGGATACTGCCCACGAGGGTGAGTTTTGATTGAGTGAGTTTTGAGTGAAACTATTAGCGTCCCATTTAACTAGATTCCTGTCGGGGATGAAAGAAGCCAAGAATCACAATTTGTGTGTTTGGAGTGGGTAGGGCGTAGACACGGCTGCCGATGTCTGTCTGCCTGAGCGCTGTCTGTGGGTAGCGCTGCACAAGGTCAGAGTTCGACTCCTCACCTGGTCTGCTGGCAAGGGCTGATCCAGCATCTCCACATCCGGATGCTGAGGGAGGTTATAGAGTTTACACAGGTCGGAGATGATCCTCTTCAGATGCTGCAATAGCTGGGGGTAGGGGACCAAAGTGACATCAAATACTCCTTTTCAACCCAATCTGATAGGTACATGGATGAGCTTAGCTCAGAACCCAAATTGGTACCTAGTTCACTAAACCTTATAGACCATGAAGCTGTGGGAGAGTTTACTGGACCAATCCTGGGGCTGGCACAGGTCTCCCCCTTTGTCTTTTAGCAAGCAACTCCCCTAAGAAGTCTGCCCCCAAAGTCCAGCTTACTGCACCATCCTCTTTCCAGGTGTCTCCCTCTCTCAGTGCGTCTTCAAGGTACGAGCCCAACCCCAACCCTGGCCCCCTTACCAGAGTATTCCCTTTCTTTATGTCCACCAGCCTCTCCAAGACAGCAGCCAAGTTTGGGTCATCAGACTCCACCGACCAGATGGGGGGCACAGCAGGGTACGACTCCTGGCGGGAAAAAGAGCAGAGAGAGGTCAAGGTGGGCAGTTCTGGGAAAAGCTGGATTTCGCCTGCTCAAAACTTCTCATTTCTTTGCTCTTTCTCTAGCTTCACAAAAGCCCAGCTCAGCAGGGCAGTATCTGATCAAGCAGCTTCTCGACGAATCCTAGGCCATGAGAAGAGAAAGCACAGCCAAACTCCAGGCATAGTGAGGGAGGCTTATCCAAGCTCTGGACTTGAAGTTCTCCCTCACCCAGCACCAAGTCCTCTTCTGAGTTCCCCACTCCATAATCAGTGGAGGAACAGATCACCTCACCACAATCACACCGATGGGGAAAAGGCAGGCTGTAGGTCACTTTCATTTTAACTGTGGAGGCAGGGACTAAAGACTAGACTGTATGTCCAGAATCTAAAAGTGAAAGGGTAGCAGAGGAATTTCCGCACCCCACTTCCAACAGGACCCCTCAGAGGCCAATTCTCCCCACCTCTCTCTTGGGAACCTGCCACCCTCTTGGTCCAGGCGTAGGATGTGGGGCTCCACATGGCAGGCTGGAAGAGGCCTACACTGCTGCATTCCCAGCATTCCTGAGCCACAGTGCCAAACGCAGCCTGACCAGGGGGACCGGGCCAGTTCAGGCCGAGTCTCCTTTACAGGGGCCACAGAGAGTCTAACCCAGAACCTTCTAAATGAACTTCCTTTTAGGGACAAAGACAGTAGATGGCCTCTGGCAACTGGAAGGGCAGGTAGAATGGGGAAAACCTACCCTTAAGGAATGAGGAGCTAAATTGAGGAACAAAATGAACTCCTGGGGTTTCCACACTTGCTAAGGAAACCATATCCACGTTTGCTAGAGTTTTTACTCTGCCATGACCTGACCCTCCACGCTGGAGGTAAACAAATTATTAAAGACGCTCCCGTCTTCACCTACGCCACACCTAGCGCTTCCATCTGAACTTCCTACTTAGGAGGAAGAAGTGGTGTGCGTGTGGTGGTGGGGATGGAAGAAGAAAGAAGTTTTGGTGGGGCGTCCTCCAATCTGAGCCGAGGCCTGTCTCACCAAACCTTGACCTGGATTGACGAAGGGAAGGGACAGAAAACAGGAACCATGTAAATGGAATCAGGACCCAAAGTGCTACACTATCCACAAGCCTGTCTTTCCCAGGCTGCTCCCATTGCAGTCTGCTGCCTGCCTGCCTGGGTCCGGCACTGTTCTCCGAGTCCTCAACCGATGCGTGGGCCAGGGGCACACCACCGGAGCAGGTAGCCTAAGTGCTATTCCATCCAGTATCGGGCGGTCCCAGGTTACCAGAGGCCAAGGCTCTTCAAGGGGTCAGTGAGGGGGGACTGGGCAGGAGGGTGGGCTAGTGCAGCGCGCCTAGGGATGGAACGATGTTCACTAGGGATAAAAGGAACTGTTACTGTGCGGAGCGGGATGGTCCTCAGACAGGACCACCATCCCCAGGAAAGGCAACAAACAACCCAGGACAACTGGAGACATCCTCAGGGAGCAGTGAGGAAGTGGCAGGTCTGCTACCAGCTGGGGCAAAAGGAGAGTTAGAGGTTACACCAGAAGAAAAGGGAATCCGAGGGAGAGGAGGAAGAGGAGCCGGCTAAAATCCAGAGAGCCAAGGGGCTGCGTGAGAGATCCTGGGCAGGGATCTCACAGGTGGCCACGTCCTAAGTGAAAGGTACTGCTGAGAAGGGGCTTCACTGGAACGTGTCGAGTTCCCAACCAAGTCCTTCCAGCTGAGGTCAGTGCGGAGGCCTGGAACCTTGAAGTGAGAGTGAGGGGGGGAAAGGGCATCTCTAGGCGGCAAGGTAAAGTCGCGGAGTACCCCAAATCGTGAACCTTGGGATGCGGGTGGGTTAGTGGGAAGGGGCAGTGGAGGCGCTGTATGTCAGGGGGTCCCTCGCTATGAAGGGTCAACGGGAAAGCGTCTGGGTGCTCGGCAGAACCTCAAGGGGCAGAAACAAGTGTAACCTGGAGAGAAGGGGCAAGCCCAGAGAGAGAGGACTCGGCCTCGCAGATCTTCAGAGAGAAAAGCTGTGTGGGGGGACCTCCAGTCCCCGAGAGGGGGCTCCCAGAGAGGCGCACGCAAGGGGATCCTCACCGTGATGTTGCAGTGGATGCGGACGGGATCCCCAGGCACCGACCCCCGGGCGGGGAGATGCGGTCCGGGCGTGGCCCCCGCCCCGGCCCCTCCAGCCCCGGCCAGCAGGAACTCGCAGCTCAGCTCGTCCAGGCAGGCGCTGGCAATGCGGAAGCGCTCGTGGCCGCGGTGGAAGATGGACTCGAGCAGCTTCAGCTCCCGCCTCAGGCAGGGCCCCGGCCCCGGCCCCCCCGCTGGGCCGCCCCCGGCCCCCGGCGCCGCCCCCTGGCCCCCCAGCTGCTGCCCCGGCCCCGGCTGCTGCTGCCCCTGCGGCTGCGGCTGCTGCATCCTCCGCTCCGCTCCGTTCCGGGGCCGGCGGGCCGGGAGCCTCCGGCCTCCGCTCCGGGCTCCGCCGCCGCCGCCGCCGCCGCCGCCGCGGTCCGCACTTCCTGATCCCCCCTTCGCCAAGATGGCGCCGCCGCCACCTCCGGGACAGGGCCCCCCCCTCCGCTCGCCGCTCCCCCCACCCCTAGCCGCCGGAAGCCGCGCGCCCCTCCTCCTCCTCTTCGGAAGCCCCGCCTCCGCTCCCTCACGTGACCTCCCCGCTCGGCCTCTTCCACGTGACCTCGCCTTCTTTCCCGCCCCTTGTTCTAGCCTGCCACCCTCCGCATGTGACCGCGGCTCCGGGCTCGCCGGTTTTAAGCGCCTCAGTGCGTGCTTACGTACAGCGTGCGTGCGTGCGTGCGTGCGTGCCGCTCTCCCCTCTGACGTGCCCCGGCCCCGCGTGCTCCCAGGGGCTCCACGCGCGGGACCCTGTTTCCCGCGCTGGGTCCCTTCCCCTGCGTGCGGGGCGCTCTGCTCGGTGGGCAGAGAGTGGGGCCTGCGGTCGCCGCCATGCCGCCCTCATCCTGCACCCCCCGCGCCGGTCCTCGGCGCAGGGTCCCCGGCCCCTGCCCTCGTGCGGCCACGTGGGCATGCTCTGTCGCCACACCGAAGGAGGGGCGTGTAGCTGGGGAAGGAGAGGGGGGCCCCATAACCAGAGTCTTGGTTGGATTCTTGCCCGGCTCGTTGCGTTGTGTGACTTGGGTTAACGACCTTCCTTCAGCCTCCTCCTCTGTGCAATGACTGATGAGGGCAATGCCTGCTCTGCCTGCCCCCGTGGTTCGATGCCAGGAGGCCGTGAAGTGTGTGATACAGATCGCTGGTCCATTACGTGTGAGCCGTAGTGGGTTGCTGACCCTTCCGCGCTGATCAGATCCCGGGGTCAGGACGAGGTCGGGGAGGGACGGCACGGGCTTCCATGGGTCATGGAAGGAGTGCTTCACCCTTAGCCGGGGAGTAGAGCGGAAGGAGGCAGACTCGGAGGACCACGTTCTCCGTCCGAAGCCCGGAGCCTGAAGGACTGGCGTTTGGTCGCAGGGGTCCTAGCAGTTGCCGGGAGCAGGCGGCAGTGCCTCCGGGCTCTCGCTAGGTGGCACTGTCACAAAGGACAAAGCTGGCCGAGGGTCCGGAGGCTGGGAGCCCGCGTTCCTCGGCCAAATGCGAACCTGTGGTAGGTAGGCCCAGGTGAATTCTGCTGGGCCAACCCCTGGTGAAGTGCCACCTTGCTCTCTCCCATATGGACCAAAACGAGCTAGCCTTGGTTGGGAGTTGAGCGCTTTGGTGCTTGGTGCTCGGTCACTCATTTAAGTAGTCAGGGGGCTTGATAAAGGCCTTCTTTGGTTAAGTCGGGCTCTGAGTATTTATTTATTTATTTAAAATATATTTTATTGATTTTATACAGAGAGGAAGGGAGAGAGAGAGTTAGAAACATGGATGAGAGAGAGTCATTGATCAGCTGCCTCTTGCACACCCCCCCCCCACTGAGGATATGCCCGCAACCAAGGTACATGCCTTTGACCGGAATCGAACCCGGGACCTTTCAGTCCCCAAGCCGACGCTCTATCCATTGAGCCAAACCGGTCCCGGCTGGGCTCTGGGTATTTAAAGGTGACTGAGACATGGTCCACACGATGAATATGTCTCTTGGGGAGTCTGAACAGTTAGCCTCACGTAGCATAAAAGGCTGGAGAAAGGATTCCCATTTATTGAGCACTGCCTAAGCCAGGGTATCTTGTAAATATTTCTAACCCCCTGTCCCCCAACAACATTGCAAAGGAAGCTTTTTCTATCCGTTTTTACAAGCGCGGGGGGTGGGGGGGAGAGGATGTCTGCCTAAGGATAGACAACTCAAAAGCAGAGTTTTTGGGTGTGTCTCCAAAGTTTGTGCCCTTCTATCCCACTCTGCCTTCCTCTGATGCTTAAAAAACAAACAAACACCTCCCCCCCCTTATTGATTTTAGAGAGAAACATTGATGTGAGAGAAAAACATCGATTGATTTCCTCCCACACACCTCCCGAATGAGGGTATGCTCTGAATGGGAATGGAACCTGACACCTTTTTGGTGTATGGGATGCTTCAACCAACGAAGCCACCCAGCTGGGGCCTCTGATGCTTTTTTTTTTTTTTTTAAGCCTCTATTCCTGCGTCTCATATCCGGGCAAGTGGAGGAGAAAATCGGGGTGCTTCTTCCTTTGGCATCAACGGGAGATTCGAGCCAGATAAGCCCCTGCCGGAACGCACGGCCCCTTCTCTGGGCCCCACCTCACCACCGCCTGCTTTTGCTGTGAGAGCTTTTCTGTGAAAAGCGCCGGCACACAGTGATGCTGTGTAGGCGTTAGTCATCACTATTGCGATTGCTGTCGTGGCTGCTGGTGGTCTCATCACCGGAGAGAAGGTCTGGATGCCTCTCCTTCCTTCATACGCCATTCCCAGAAAGGGCCCAGAGTGACTGACCGCCCGCCCTAACCTCCACTTCTCCCTACCAGGATCCCTTCTGTTAGACATGGCTGGCTCCTCATTCTTCTTGTGGACAACAAATTCCTAAACAAGGAATTTTTGGAAATAAGGACCTAACTTCATGTCAACACCTCAGTGAGACTTTTCCCAGTTTGCCCACATTAGCGTTCACCATGTGGTCCCATGGCCGTACCCATCAAAGCGTTTTCCCCTGTGCTGGCGCCTGTGTAGGCCGTACTTTTTTTTTTTTTTTTAATATATTTTATTGATTTTTTTTTACAGAGAGGAAGAGAGAGGGATAGAGAGCTAGAAACATCAATGAGAGAGAATCATCGATCAGCTGCCTCTTGCACACCCCCTCCCGGGGATGTGCATGCAACCAATGTACATGCCCTTGACCGGAATGGAACCTGGGACCCTTCAGTCCGCAGGCCGACGCTCTATCCACTGAGCCACACCGGCTTCGGCTGTAGGCCGTACTTGTTCCCACCAACCTGGAGCTTCTCACGTGCACAAGCTGCTGGCTGGTTTCTGAATGCCCTTCCTTTGTTGCCCCGAATTGGCCTTCTGAAAGTGCAGCTCTCGCTGTGTTTATCCTTTCCCTGACCTCAGGCAGCCATGTTTTTCCAGGCTCACGCGGACTGTGAAAAGTGAGAGGGGTGGCTGGTTCTCCCACAGCCAGAGGAGAGTGCAGTCATGTCTTGATAGACTCTTCTCTTAGGTGTGGTGTCCTGATCATCACCCAGGTCTCTGCAGGACCTGATGTCTGTGCATCACACATATTTGTGTTCCGTATTCTTTCTACCTGTCACAAGCCAGTTAATGAAGAAATGAGCCCAAGATGGCTGGAAACCTCCCTCTGCCAAAGAGGTGTTTAAAGCTGATGGCATTTCTTAGCAGAGGTAGTAAAACTATAGAGTTTCTCTCTCTTATCTTCAAGAGGTTTTCATATGTCACTTGACTCTAGCCCTTACCCCAAAAACCCTACAAATGCAGCCATTTGGAAGATCCTGAATTCCATATTTTAGCAATGACTTTAATTGGAGTAAAACAAGGTTGCTCAGTGGTTAGAGCGTTGGCCCACAGACTGCAGGGTCACAGGTTTAGTTCTGCTCAAGGGCATGTACCTCGGCTGCAGGCTTGATCCCTGGTCCGGGTCAGGGCATGTGTAGGAGGCAACCAATCGATGTGTCTCTCTCACATTGATATTTCTCTCTCTCTCTGTCTCCCCTCCTCCTCTCCATTCTCTCTAAAAATCAACGGGGAGCCGAAACCGGTTTGGCTCAGTGGTAGAGCATCGGTCTGCAGACTGAAAGGTCCCAGGTTTGATTCCAGTGAAGGGCATGTACCTTGGTTGTGGGCACATCCCCGGTAGGGGGTGTGCAAGAGGCAGCTGGTCGATGTTTCTCTCTCATTGATGTTTCTCTCTCATTGATGTTTCTAGCTTCCTCTCTGTAAAAAATCAATAAAATATATTTTTAAAAAATTAAAAATTAAAATAAACGGGGGAAAAATACCCTCGGGTGAGGATTAACAACAACAAAAAGAATAAGCCAAGGTGATGAGATGGTCCCACAATGTTGCACAGACTCCAAGTCGCTCAGTGAGGAAACTCAAAAGTCATGGTCACTGGGACCAGGCCTGTCTCTTCCTCTCTGCTGGTCTGTTCAGTGCCTCAGCTCCCTGGCGGGGAGAACCCTCTGGCAGGAGCCTCGAATGAAGTCCTATCTGATATTCTGCTAAAATGTGAAGGGAAGGGGCCGTACACATGGATGGAAATGGTGCATATGTTCGTTTAATAAACATATTAAAAAGTCACTGTGCTCATGGGGCTTACATTCTGCTGGGTGTAATAAAGTGAAATAGGTGTAATAAAGGTGGTGTCTACAAAGCCAGCTGACTCCCTAGATCAGTGGTCGGCAAACTCATCAGTCAACAGAGCCAAATACCAACAGGACAACATTGAAATTTCTTTTGAGAGCCACATTTTTAAAACTTAAACTATGTAGGTAGGTACATTGTTATTAACTTAATTAGGGTCCTCCTGAGCTGGCCTGTGCTAAAAACTCAAGGGGCCAAAGAGCCGCATGTGGCTCACGAGCCGTAGTTTGCCGACCCCTGCCTTAGATGGGAGAGAAGTTGAGCAGATATTCACTAAGCACCTACTACATGGAAGGCACTGGGGATGCAGCATTCAATGAGACAGAACCAGTTCTCCTCACCTTCTCTGTGCGCTCGGTCCGGTAGAAAACCAGACACTTTATGAATTGTTACACATCCAATCACTTCATTGCAATCACCTCTGAGGGGAGGAAGGGCAGGACACCGACTCAGGCGGAAGGGACAGCACACGCAATAGTTTTGAGGCAGGACCATGGCAAGTTGGAGGACGTGGCAGGACACAGGAAAGAGGCCTGTGAAGAGAAGGGAGAGGGATGCAGGTAAGACAGGCAAGGCTTACATCTTGGCAGACATTCAAAACCCTGTTTGGGAACTGGGGCTTTGTTTT